TCGGCGCGATCCGCGCCCTCGCCAACTGTCGGTGCTTCTGTCTTGCGAGACGACGGCCGCGGCGGCGGCGGCGGTGGCGGCATGACATCACGAGTTGAGCCAACACGAGCAGCACGAGGAGGGTGCCGATCACGAGCCAGTCCTCCAGCTGCGGCTCCCTCCCATGCGCAGCATAGGTTCGTGCTGCGCCGTGGGAGTGGGTGATCCCTATGCGCGACCCGACTGTGGCGTCGGCGGTCTCCTGCCTCTTGCGGGCGGTCTCTTGTCCCGGTGGAGCCTCAGGAGAGGGCACACTGCTGCCCATCGTTGTGCGACGGCTGTTGTTGGTGCGCGTTTATCTCATAGACATACTACGATAGGCAGAGAGAAACAGCAGCTCGAGACGACGGTGAGGCAGAGGGCGGTCTCGCTGAGAGGCGCTGTTCCAGTTGCGAATAATACGAGGGGAAAGATCGAACACAGTAGGCGTCACCGTCACGCGCTAGGAGATTTCCCATCCCTCCCTTGGGTTCTCCGTTTTATTTTTTTTACGCGCAAGGAGACCATCGTATTGCCCCCCCGAAATCCTGAGGAATCGCGCAGCGCCTAGATATAACTGTGTATGTCTTGTCACTTGTGAGAGAGATTTTTAGAAGCCAACAAGAAAATTCTTCACTTGTGTGTGCAGCAACAACAAACAAGGCGTGAACCGCGCCATTCGCTCTCACCTGGCAACCCTGTCTGCACGTCTCGCGCGCGCGTGAACAGGGCTCCAGGCCCCAAATGACGTGTGAGTGTTAGATTTGTTTGGTATTGCTAAAAATCTCTCTCTGTGTGCAGCTGTGTGGTGCACGCCCTGCGAGCGGGGACCGGGGTGCGCGCTGTGCCTCGGGGTTCGTGCGTCGCCCATCTCTCCGGGAGATGCGTGCTCTATTTATTTATAGTCAGGAGACCGGGAGTATGTTGTCCAAGCCGTGTGGCTCGGCCAGCGCGGGCCCGACGGAGAAGCCCCACCCCTACCACAGACCCGCCTACCCGGCGCCCCGCCCTTAGCCTCAGGCCACACAGCCAGCCTCGCCCGTCTCGCCGCAAAGGCCCCCGTCGGCCGGCTCGGCGGCCGGGTCCGCCCCCAGGTCTTGGCCCGAGAGGTTGGCCTCCTTGATCGTCCGCACCCAGGAGGCGATTTCGCTCTCCGTCGCCGGCCGCCCGTTGCGCTCCTCGAAGAGGGCGCACAGCTCGTCGAGCACGCGGTCCACCTCCTCCTCCTCCTCGCCACCTCGCTCTCAGGGATGATACGATCTCGAAGCAGTTGGTCGAGTCGGTCAGGTCGCCGTAGTGCAGGTACAGCTTTCGTGTGTCCACGTGCGGGTCCTGGTACAGGTCTTCGATCCGGCGGGTGTTGAAGGAGGATGAGCGGCGGATGACGCCGTGCACCGCATACCCCTTTTTGAGCAGCAGCTCTGCAAGGTAGGACCCGTCCTGCCCAGTGATGCCCGTGATGAGAGCCACCTTTGGCTCCACCATACTCAAGCCTTTGTGCGCAAGTGCGCAAGTTTTCAACTCCCGCGTCCCTGGTTCGGCCGTCCTCCGATCGCCGGAGATCTGTTTTCTTTATTTTACAAAAGAATTTGAAACCAGCGTTCATCACCTTCACCCCGCCTTCACACTCCGCCACCCCGTGGTTCCAACCCAGGATAAACGACGCGAGCGAGAGGAACAGGATGTTGCCGCAGACAGACAGACGTCCTCTGGAAGGCCGTTTCGAGCGGGCCCGCAAGGGCGGTCGGGTCGTAGCCGAGCCTCACAGGCGACCAGCATGCTGCATGGAGCAAAACATCGAAAAGCCCACCGCCGACCCGAAGAATGGCAGTGCGACGGTCTGGGAAGTTGGGGGACACGAAGGAGCAGGCGGACATCGCTTCCAGGGAGGGGGGCGCAGCCACTTCTCTCCACACCACATGCTAGGGGGGGGGGGTCCGACCCCCCCTCAGCACCTTCACCACATGCTAGGGGGGGGGGGGGGCCCGCCCCCCCCAGCACCGTCACCACATGCTGGGGGGGGGGGGGGGGGGCCTGGCCCAAAAACCCCCCCAAAAATCTGGGGGAGGCCCCCCCGGGCCCTTAATTTTTCCCCCTTTTTCCCGAAATTTTGAAAAGAAAAAAATCCCTTTGGACCCACAAAACCTTTAAAAATGGCAAAATTCCCCAAAAATTTGAACTTTCCCCCCCATTTTCCAAACTTTGGGGGCAAAAACGGTTCTTGGGGGGGATTTCTTGATCAAAAAACCCCGGGGGGGGCCCCCCCCCCACCTAGGGGGGGGGTCCCCCCCCCCCAAAAAGTTTTCCCTAATTTTAGGGGGGGGGCCCCCCCCCCCCCA